TCCGGACAACGTGCGATTACCGACGCGGGTTCCAACAACACTTCGGTGCCGCTCGTAGTCTCACACGGACCAGATAGTCGGAGGCCAGCCGCAAATGGGAAACGTCTACTTGTTTCTCTGAAACTCAAAACACATTTTTGGTAATGTCTAATTTCCGCCACTGCTGATGTGAGAACCAGCCCCGCAAGACGTAATAGAAGGGCGTACACAAACATAGGAAGAAATACGAAGATATAGTTTAAGGAGCAACATTTTCACACACGAAGTCCAAATAATCGGTTCCACCGTTCTTGATGCTTCCCCGTGCGCTTTCTAACCACTTCTTGCTTCTTCCGGCCTCCCCTTACGCCAAGCCTTTGTTTACATGTTCCTCCTCCTACGTCCGCAGCATTTGGAGGTTCACGGGGATTACACATCCGTACGTGAATCTTCGCGATCACCGCGATGCGCGTTTCTTTGGGCACATGGGCATTCATATGTCTGTCTATTTAGCAACAGGCCGTGCGCTTAGCAGATACACCCCGGCAGATATTTATCATTATCGTTGATATATATATATATATATATATATATATATATATATATATATATATTCCCTCGTATTGTTGCTTCCACTTCGGTTGCGCACGCGCGTAGTGGCAAAATATATCCAGAGTCGGAAGAGGAAGACGACCAAACCAGAATCGTAGTCGGGGCCGGACGAAAACCCAGAGCCGGAAAAGGAGCCGGAAGAAGCCAGAACGGGAGTCGGAAGGAAGCGGAGGAAGAGCCGGAGTCGGAGCCGGACGAGGCCGGAACGGGAGTCGGAATCGGAATCGGAAGCGGAGGAAGACCGAATCGGAATCGGAACCGGACGAAAATCCGGAGCCGGAGTCGGAGCTGGAGGAGGCGAACTCCTTCCGCGCCTCTCCCGAATCCAACCCTCCCAATCTCACTCGCGCCCGCTCCACTCCCCCGTCGTCCTCCCGCCTCCTCCAGCCTCCTCCGCGCTCCTCCCGAAGCAAAGCACGGCCATGCAGCAACGACCGTTTCAGAAAAAAAAGGCGGGGGTTCGGGTGCAAAAGTCCAGAGCCCGCGGTCCAAGGTCGGGCCGAGGCCCGGGGGCCGGGCAACAAATCGGGGGTGGGGCATTTTTCTGAAATCGCGCGCACTTTTTCTGAAACCTCCCACGTTTTTTCTGAAACAACGAGCCCTTTTTCTGAAACTGCTCAGCCTTTTTCTGAAACGGCACGCCCTTTTTCTGCATTCCCCTCTTAGCCCCGTTAACTGAACAGAAGGAGGGAGAACCATATTTTGGCGACGACCGCGAGCACAGCCGCAGGCTCTCCGCCCCGTCCAAAAAACGGGGGAACAGAGTTGTGGGGTGGGACGTGGAAAAAGCGCTGCTTAACCTAAACAGCTGCGGGAGCAGGGAGGAGGAGGGGCGACAGAGCACTACGGCCAGGGGGGAATAAAACCTTTTAGGCGCATGCCAAACGAAACCACATTCCCCTCCTAGCCCCGTTAACTGAACAGAAGGAGGGAAAGCCATATTTTGGCGACGACCGCGAGCACAGCCGCAGGCTCTCCGCCCACGCCCGTCCCGGGCCGCACCCCAGGGGGATCGCCCTAACGGCGCCCACCCTCCCTCCAAACAAAGATGGCCCTAGGGGTCCGCCAATGAGACAGAGGAGGGGCGAGGGGCAGGGAGCCGGAGAGGAGGAAGGAAGGCGGGCCCGCCATCACCCCGCGCAAAACCCTGGGTGCCAAGCGCACTAATCACAGTTGCGCGGCACCGCAACTAGCTGCAGCTGCAGAGGGGTAGCGCGAATACTGGAAACAGTATTGCAAAAAACAGAATCCGCCCCTCCGGGGGGCACTGCGGGGCGGGGCTGCGGAAGGCCAGCTCCCCGGGCGCGCAGGGTCACCACTGCGGCGCACCGGATCCAGCACCGTACCAACCGTTCCCACCGCAGCTCTTCCGCTCCCCGGAGGGGGGCCTTCCACGGGTTACATCAACTGGGCGCCGTCAAAACCGGCGGGTTCCCCCAGATTGGAGCCCGAGGGGTTCGCAAGGCCGCAAGCTTGGTGCCAGCTGCTGGCGGTGGGCGGCGGGGACGTCAGCAAGGGTCGAGGGGGCTCCGCGGGCGCGGCCGAGCCAAGCGGCTTCTCGGCAAGGCTGGAGGGGAGGCGGCGGAAAGGGAGCAACGGGAGGGGCGACAGGAGGCAGTAGCAGAGGGGGAAGAGGGAGGGACGGTGGGATTAAGTATACGTGTGAGAGGGCGACGGAGAGAGAGAGAGAGAGAGAGAGAGAGAACTCACAAAACATATGAGAGAGACAGAGAATTAAGAAAAAGAGAAAGAGAGAAAAAGAGACTAGAGAGAGAGAGAGACACACACACACACAACAGCAAAGAGAAGGTCGAGCGAGAGAGGGGAGCCGGAGAGAAAGAAAGAGAGAGAGAGAGAGAGAGATACCGAGAGAGACTTGTTGAGCACTACGGCCACACTGCATGACTAAAGCACGAGCGAAGTCAATCCCTTCTCTTTGGGATGGAGGCCCTTGCGAATCTTATCCCAAGAACCCTGGTTATACTTGTCGTTGCCATTCTTGGGGCCTCGTTGCCGCCCGCGCAAATCTCGCCGAGTTTGGCCAAGAGGAGCATCAACGGTGTAACGTCTGCAGTCTAAACAAACGCCCACAGAAGAGCGCCGTTCGAACAATCGAACACTTCCGCGTGCATGATACAACGCCCAGAGCCTCTGCACAGTGATCCGGGGGGACTCTGGGCAACGGCCTGGGGGAGGGCAGACGTGACTAATGAGGACTCCGCCGGGTGCGGGGACAAGCCGAGCGCTGCCACAAACGCTGCGAACCAACGGGGGGGGGGTACGCCAGGTCCACGCCCGGGGGCTGGCGGCCCTCGACTGCTCTGGCACTCGCGGGCTGGGCCAAGGGCGCCCCCGCAAGGTCGGTCCTGGGCCGCGCCGGGAGCAGCTCGGCAGCAGGCTCGGCGGTGCAGTGGGGGCCCGACCACCGGAACTCTGCCACGAGAAGCCCGGCCCTGAGACCCCAGGGCGTCCACTGGCTCCTGGCGCGGGGGCGTCGCGCCTGCCGTCGCGGAGCCATCGAGACTCGAGCAGCCCAGGGCGCCCTGAAGGCCAGCAGGGCGCTTCTTGGCGTGGGTCTCCACCGTATGCTTGCTTCGCAAACTGCCCGCGCTGGCCTCGGCCACGGTCGCGCTGCGTCGGCGGGCGGGTGCGCCGCTGGCTCGGCGCGGCGCGATCGGCAGAGTCGCCACCGACGCGCAGCAAGAAGGCTCACCGGGGAAACGATTCGGGCCGTCGAGCGCCTGGCGCGCCTTGGCCTTCCCGCGGCTCGCCGTACACGTCGTTCATTTCTGCTCGTGCTCGTTTCTAACTGTGCTCGTTTCTGACTGTTCCTGGCCCCCTAGTGGCCAGGACGAGGCCCAAAATAGAACAATCAGAAACGAAAGGACCTTGGCCCCCCCCAAAAATCAAAGAACTTTCGAATAATTAGAGATGCACAGTGTGTATCGCCCCCGCCCAGAGCCCGCCCCTACATATGGCCACCCCCGCGTGCGGACGGTCGGGCGCCTGGCGGGCGCGTGCAGGCGACGCGCGCGCGCCAGCGACGCCAGCGCAGACGCCGGCACTCCCGCTGGGCTGGGGAGGCAGTGCGCCGCGAACCGGAGGCATGGAGGAGGAGGAGGAGGAGGAGGAGGAGGAGGAGGAGGAGGAGGAGGAGGAGGAGGAGGAGGAGGAGGAGGAGGAGGAGGAGGAGGAGGAGGAGGAGGAGGAGGAGAGGAGGAGGAGGGAGGAGGAGGAGGAGGAGGAGGGAGGAGGGAGGAGAGGAGGAGGAGGAGGAGAGGAGGAGGAGGAGGAGGAGGAGGAGGAGATAAAAACTTCGCCCGCGCGCGAGGTCCGTGGGCCGCTGCTCCGGCGGGGCCGAAAGCGCCAGCGAGAGCGGGTCGCCGCCCGGGCCGAGGCCGGCAGTGCCCCGGCCCGCGCGGCTCGTCGTGTTCCGGACCGAACCCAGACATGATGGCGTCGCAAAAAAATCAGGACGGGAGGTTTTTCGCTATACCCTCGCCGGGCCTCGGGACTGTCAAACAACGACTCAGGACGAAAAACCGGTCCTGGGGAAAGGGTCGGGACTTCTGGGGACGCCGTCCTGGAAAAATCAGGACGTCGCATGTCTGGGGACCGAAGGCTTCGGGCAGGGGCTCCCCAGGAGCAGCTCGCCCCAGAGCTCGCGGGGGCCTTTTCGGGCGGGCGCGGCAGGCCCCCTGCAGCAGCACGTGCGGGGCGTAATTACGTGATGCCTAATCTTGCCGTCGCTCGGACGTCCATTTCCCGCGTATTTTTCGGTTTCGTGCGTGTTTTTTTGGCTCGATGGTCCAGGATGGTCCTTGATGGTTCTCGCCGAGAAAATATGCACACGTCCGAGCGATGCCAAGTAATTTTCTAATTATGAAAAGCCACCCCGTCGGGGCCACCCTCGTCGTCGGCTGCGCGCGCGCGACGGGGGGCTCGAACGGGCCGGAAGTGAGAGCAGACTTGTCGCGAGCGTCGGAGTCCGTGCAGCACAGCCGATAAAACCTCCTCCTTCGCAGTCTCTCCCCTCTCCTGGTCCTGGCGAGCCTTGGACCTGAGGGCGGAAGAAACAACATCAAAACAGAGGCGCGTGGCCCCTAAAAGTGGCAGAAACATAAGAACTCGGAGGTCCGCGCGGACTTCTCGGATCGGCGCTGGACCCCCCTCCCTGGCGCGCGGAGCGCGCCAGGGGCGGCGCCGGACGGGAGGCGCCGCCGGGGGGCCCCAGCGCCGATCCGAGAAATCCGCGCGGAACTCCGAGTTTTTATGTTTATGCAACTTTTTGTTCCCCTACTGACATCGCTGTGCTCTGAGGCGGCCTCCCCCTCGAGGCCCCCTCCCCGCCCCCTCCCCGAGAAATCCGCGCGGACCTCCGAGTTTTTATGTTCATGTCATGTTTTGTTCCCCTATTCTTGCGACCGACGAGCGATCGGGGACACCGCTCCAGGCGCGCGCCCGACGCAACTTGAGCGGTGCACCGTCGGCTGCAGCCGCGAAGCCCGCTGCCGCACGCTGAGAACCTCGCGGGGGGCCGGCCGCGCAGAGATTGAGGGCACCGCGCCCCGGCGCTGCCCGCTGCGCAACGAGGCGCCCAGGGCGCCGATGGGCGACATCGCCCCCTGGACGAGGAGGACGAGTCGGGGGCCCCCAGGAGGAGGGGGAGGAGGAGGGCCCCCAGGAGGAGGGGGAGGAGGACCGTCCGATCGGCAACGAGCAGCGCGACATCTGGTCCGGACGTTGCGGCCGCGCAGGGCTCCGCCAGCTGCGCCATCGATGCCGCGGCTGGCCATGGGCTCGCCGCGCATGCCGGCCAGACTCTTCGGCCCCCGCTCCGCAGGGCGAGAGAGAGAGAGGGAGAGACTGCGACTGAGACTGAGACTGAGAAGAAGAAGAAGAAGAAGAAGAAGAAGCCATCACAACTTTGCCCAGAGCAACCGTGGCCAGCAACAGATCCCTCGCGACAATCTCGAGCTTCAACGCGAAATCACATATGCGATTGGCAACCTTAACGTCCTTCCCCACCCTGTTGACCCCCGCATCATCGATGTAGGTGTCAAAAGTAAGTGAAGGGGGAATAGATGAGGAGTCAACGCCGTCGGAGGCGAAAATGCGAATATGCGTCGTGGCACAGCTGCAGCCGGCAACGATGCCGACTCCAGCGCACATCGGATAGGAGACCGCACCAGCAATAGCTAACAAGCGCGCTGACCCATGCCCGGCCGGACACGTGGCCGTGATGGGTGGGGGGAGACCGCGCCGATTACACCTCTGAAGCGTGAGATCGAAAGGAGTCCTCTCCTGATGCCTGACAGGATCCCAGACCCAGACATGCGACGTCCTGATGTTTTCAGGACGGCGTCCCCGCAAGTCCCGACCCTTCCCCTGGGGCCGGTTGTTCATCCTGAGTCGTTTTTGTTGACGGTCCGGAGGCCCGGCGAGGGCCCCCAGGGGCCGAAAATAGTCAAAAGCCGCCCGTCCTGATTTTTTTACGACGCCATCATGTCTGGGTACGCGTAAGCGACCCCCGCCCCTCGCCCGGCACTCTCTGGCCTGCTCCAGGAGAAGGAGGAGGAAGAGGAGGAGGAGGAGGAAGAGGAGGAGAACATGGAGGAGGAATGGAGGAGGAGGAATGGAGGAGGAGGAGGAGGAGGAGGAGGAGGAGGAGGAGGAGGAGGAGGAGGAGGAGGAGGAGGGAGGAGGAGGAGGAGGAGGAGGGGAGCAAGGTGCAGGCTGACCCAGCCCGAGACCGAGGCGTTGCTTTGGCCTGGCCGCCTGCCTCCAGCCGACGCCGCTGGCCGACCTCTGCCGCCCGGCCGCCCGGCCGCGGCCCCCCGCGCGCGCCGCCTCCGAAGCGGGGGCCCTCCTCCTCCTCCTCCTCCTCCTCCTCCTCCTCCTCCACGTCCTCTCCTCCTCCTCCTCCTCCTCCTCCTCCTCCTCCTCCTCCACGTCCTCCACAAGAGCAGCAAGCAAGCAGACGCAGGGCCAGACCCTTGCACCTGAAAGCCTGAGTCGCCTCCCTGTTTCGCGCCCCCCTGCGGCACCTGCGTCGTGGCCAGAACATGCTCGGACGGACGCCAGGCGGGCGGCGCCCCGAGGTCGGTTTAGGAAGCGCGGCAAGGGCCGTGGCGCGGAGCCGCGGAGGCAACGCTCCAACGCGTTCCAGTGGGCCTCAGGAGGCTCGAGAGGGCTTCCAAAGCTCCGCGCGAGCAAACAGACATATCCCACGTGGAACCCGTCCGGACCTCGCGGCGGTCATGCAGGAGAGCGCCTCAGAGACCCAGCGAAGAGCGCAGACGGCCATCGCCGCCAGGGGATCCAACGCGGCGCGGGGGGGCCCAGACGGCGTGGCCCGGGCCTCCCAGAGGCCTCTAAGCCTGGCAGCTTCATCCCGCGGGAGGGCCCGGGGATCGGGAACAACGCGCCCTTGGAACTGAGGGCCGCGGAGGGTTTGAAAGCCTGAAGGGCCCTGGGAGAATGCGCGGGCGCGGCGACCCCCGTTCTCGACGTCCGCCATCGGCCAGGAGCTCCAGCCCTTGCGCGCTTGACCGCCGCAGCGCGCCACGCGCCCGGCCAGAGCTTCGGAAACGGCGCAGCCGAGATTGTCGACACGATCAGCGCAGGGAGCACGCGGGGGAGAGCCGCCCAACAAGTCCTGTCCCAGCTTGGAAGCCCCCGCTAAAAGACGACAGAGCTAAGGGACGGGGCCGGGGGCGTCCTTGACACTCGACGGGGGGCTCGCTAAACTTGTCGCCGCTGCTGCGGCCGCCCGAGGACAGATGCGGTGGCTCGCGAAACGAACCGAACGTTGCATGAGGTTGGCGCGGGGCCACCGCGCAGCGCGGATGGGGGGGGGCACTTGGCGCGGCCCAAATTCCTGCCCATGAGTTGTCTCAAATGGGTAGCGGGCCCCTTGTTCCGAGATCCCCGCGCTGGCAACTCTTCCCCAAAGACTCCGGGCAGCTCCTTCGATATGTGCACCAAGGGGGGCGTGGATTGAAATGAGTGGGGGAGCAGGAAGGATGTGGAGTGGCGTTCCGCTCTGAAGCGTCCTCGCAATCCGGCAAAACCGCAACCCCTCCCAGGGGGCACCGCGCGTGCTGGACCAGGCACATGCGGCGCCCTATGTCGGCGCGCACATGTGAAAGGCCCATGTTTGTGTGTTTGTCGGAAAAACGCCGCCCACGTCCCCTTCCCCCACCGAAGGTCCCAGTGGCACCGCTCGCATGCGTCCGCCACCACGCAGCACAGCCCTTGCTGACCGCGTCTCACCCACCCAGTACAGCGTTTCGTGGCCCCATAGGGAGCTCCACCGAAGGTCCCAGTGGCACCGCCCGCATGCGTCCGCCACCACCCAGCACAATTGCGGCATTCACAACTGCATATGGTTGGGTCCTTCGCCAGGCTAATCCACCAGCCCTCTGGGCGTAGGTGGTCTAGAGCAGATCCTCTTCCACCCCTCCCTCTTCCCCCTTGGGGAGGGGTTTACCCCTCCCCCTACCCCCTCCCCTGGACCTGGACGGGGGGGGCCGCGGGTAGTTAGAGCGTCCCAGATGGCCCAAGACGGCTCCAAGAGCGCCTCAGAGAACCCAAGATGAGCTCCAAGATGGCTCAAGATAGCGCAAGATCGCTCACGATGGCTCCTAAGATGGTTCCAAGAAGCCCAAAGACGGCCCCAAGATAACTCCAAGTGGCCAAACAGCTCCCCAAGGAGGCCCCGAAGAGGCCAAAATCGTCCCAAAACCTAAGGAAAATCAATGATTTTTGCTTTCTCGCCTTTTCGCTTCCGATGGCCATCCGAGGCCTGGAGATGGCTCCAAGATGGCCCAAGAGGGCCCCAAGAGAGCCCCAAAAGAGCCCCAAGACGGCCCCAAGAGCGCCCAAGAGCACTCCAAGAGCGTTCCAAGAGGGGTCCAAGAGGCGATTTTAGGGGCTTCCGAGGGGGGGCGCTAATTAAACCCCCCCTCTTGTTTGATCGACTCCCTCCAAGATGGCCCCAAAAGCGCCCCGAAGGCTCCCCATAGCGCTCCAAGAGCGCCCCAAGACGCGCTCAGGACGCCCCAAGAAGCGCCCAATAGCCTCTCAACAAACCCCCAAAAGGCTCCTTCTTCTCCTCCTCCTGCTCCGATTCCTCTTCCTTCGTCCTCTTGGGGCTTGACGGTTTCTCCGGCCTTTTGTTTCTCCACATGCTCCGCCACTTCTTTGATCAGGGCAACTCGTAGGGTTATCGTCACTCGATGGGCTTCTCGACTTTTTCATCCTATGCCCTTCCGAGGCCTCAAGCTCGTTCCATAAATCCAACAGACGGCTTCAAGAGAAACTCAAGAGAGCTCCAAGACGGCCCCACCTGGGGGCGGGGCGACGACGACGACCAAGGCGGCGGCGGCAGCGATAACGACGCCGACGACGGCCCGACGACGACCCTTCCTCCTCCTCCTCTTCCTCCGACGACGATTCCTCTTCCATCCTCCCCCTCTCGGGGTATGTGACAGTTCCCCGCCCTTTGTTATTCTGCATGCTCCCCGACTTCCCTGATCACCTCAACTCCCCTGGGCATGGTTTCCGGATGGGCTGGTGGGGATACGCGAAGCGTCAACAATTTTTTCTCTATCCGCGGGCGCGTGTCATAGAGGACCTGGAACTCGCAGAAGGACCCCAACATGTGATGCACAATCAGAACGGGGGAGCTGAGCAGGATGGAAAGGAGGATGCGGAAGGAGGAGACGGACGAGGACGAACAGCAGCAGCGGGAACTGGAGTGGAAGGAACGGGGCAAGCAGGAGGACCAGGGGAAGGTGAAGGAGGGGAAAGGAGGGCGGCGACAACGATCAGGAAGGGCTCGCATCCAGAAAAGTGGCCCGCGCAGGGGCGAGATCGCCATTCTAAACGTCAGGAGCAAAGCGTCGATCCGAAAATAAGGCCCACGCTGCAGTGAGAGCACCATTTTGAAACACCGAAGACAACAATCGGATTGTACAAGAAAACGATGATCATTTTGCTTCGAGCGATCTCCACCAGAACCTTCGGCGTTTGTTCCCGAAAGCGCACGCGCCTACACCGGAACGCCCTTGACCGCGCTCCGCGGCCGGGGGGGGGATATCGCGCTCCCCGGCCGGCCCGAGGGCAAGGCCAGCCCGACTTGGCGCAGGCGCGACCGGTACTTGGGATCTCGCCTCGGACGCGGGCGGACACGGCATACGCACGGCTCTCGGCACGGCGCCCAGCACCGCACACAGCACAGTACCTGGCATGGCACAGCACGGCAACACCCTGCCACACAACATGGAACCTAAGGCGGCCCCGAACAGCACGCCCATCAGAACCCGAAGGGTGATTCTTCAAGGGAGGCCTTGCCTTGAAGGGCGGGAGCTCTTTCAAATGGACTTCTCGCTTGAGCTCCCTTTGAGGCTCTCCGGAGGTGTCCCAGGGAGGGGCGCCGTGCGAGGCCGTCTGGGGGCTGAGGGGGCAACTAGAGAAGGCCACAGGATGAGGTTGAGGGCGGCTCCTTGTTCAAAATGTGGTCTTCGCTTGAGCTCACTTTGGAGTCCCCGGGAGGTGTCCCAGGGAGGGGCGCCGTGCGAGGCAGGGCCCGAGGCCTCTGGCGGCGGAGGGGGCAACCATAGAAGGCCACAGGATGAGGTCGAGGGCGGCTCCTTTTCAAAAAGACGCTCACCCTCGAGCTCCCTTGGAGGCCCTCTGGAGGTGTCCCAGGGGGGGCGCCGTGCGAGGCAGGGCCTCTGGGGGCTGAGGGGGCCACCAAAGAAGGCCACAGGATGAGGTTGAGGCGGGATTCGCCAGATCTCGCTGGCCGGATTCGCCGGATCTCGCCGGACTCGCCAAATCTCGCCGGAAATTGAACAGGGGGGCGGTGGGCGGGCCCACTCCCTCACGCGCCAGGGGTCAGGATGACGTGAGTTCCACAGAAACTCCACCACCTCACCTAACTTGGGAGTCCGGCTGTTGGCTACACAACTGGAAAGTCTTCGGCGCGAGGAGAAAATCAATTAGCCGAAGACTTCAGAGGAGGGGGGGACAGAAAGGCACACGAGGAGGACGAGGAGGACGAGGACGAGGACGAGGCAGATGCTGACCCCTCCAAGCTCAGACCCCCTTCATCCGCGATCTGGCGACGTGACAACTCACCACCGCGCCGAGAAGGTGTGGATGAGCCCGCCCTCCTCCTCATCCTCCTCCTCCCCCTCCTCCTCCTCCTTCTCCTCCTCCTCCCTCCCCTCCCTCCCACCATCCCTCCCTCCCTCCCTCCTTCAGGTGCGCGCGTGCTACTCGATGATGCCCCCCACTTTAATGTCCCGTCCGCCCGCCCGACCCGCCCGTTAGGGTCCGCCCGCCCGACCCGATCCGCCCGTGAGGGTCCGCCCGCCCGCCCGACCCCCGGCCGTTGGGTTGCGCGCGTGCTAATCGATGATGCCTCCTACTTTAATGTCCCGCCCGCCCGCCCGACCCGCCCGTTATGGTCCGCCCGCCGGACCCGACCCGCCCGTTAGGGTCCGCCCGCCCGCCCGACCCCCGCCCGTTAGGGGGCGCGCGTGCTACTCGATGATGTCCCCCACTTTAATGTCCCGCCCGCCGCCCGCGCGACCCGCCCGTTAGGGTCCGCCCGCCCGACCCAACCCGACCCGCCCTTAGGGTCCGCCCGCCCGCCCGACCCCCGCCCGAAGGCGCGCGCGTGCTGTTCGATGCTGTCGCCCATTTTAATGTCTCGCCCGCCCGCCCGACCCGCCCGTCAGGGTCCGCCCGCCCGACCCGACCCGCCCGACCCGGACCCCGGACTCCGGACCCGGACCCCGGACCCCGGACCCCAGACCCCGGACCTCACAACCCGGCCCCCGGACCCCGGACCCCGGACCCCAGGATCCCGGACCCTGGACCCCGGACCCCGGACCCCGGACCCCGGACCTCGCAGACCCCGGACCCCGCACCCCGCCCGCCCCCCGGACCCCGCACCCCGGACCCCGGACCCCGGACCCTGGACCCCAGACCCCAGGACCCCGGACCCCGGACCCCGGACCCCGGACCTCGGACCCCGGACCCCGGACCCCAGACACGGACCCCGGACCCCGGACCCCGGACCCCAGACCCGGGCAGCCGGAGGTCCATAAGTCCACAAGAGGGAGAGCGCGGAAGAGGGGCGGGAGGAGGGGAGGGGGGGTGAGGGCAAGCTTGGTGCGCTCGCGTCATCTCTGACGTCCTACCCGTCCCTCCCATCCCTTGCCATGGCGCAGATCTCCTCTCTATTCGCACTGTCGGCTATCGAGCAGGGCAATGATCCCGAGGGTGCGCGATGCATCGTAGAGCACGGCGTAGCAGAGCGTAGAAGAGCACGGCAGAGCGTAGTATGGCATAGAATGGCGTTGCGTTGTGTAGTGAAGAGTTGCATAACAAAGCATTGCAGCGCAAAAAGAGGCATCGCACAGCGGCACAGAAGAGAACATGGCATAGCATGGCGTTGAAGATCAAAACGTAGCATGGCATAGCATGGCGTCACACTGCGTAGTCAAGCACTGCATATCCTAGCATTGCAGCTGAAGGCGTGGCATCGTACAGGAACACCGCTTACCATTGCGTTGCATGCCGTGGCATGGCACTGGAAACAATGTCGCCAGCGCTGCAGCGGGAACACGACTCGGAACGAGTGGAAGCGCGGAAATGAGGCCAGATCTGCAGCGGGAGCACGCATCGGAACGAGCGGAAACGCGGAAAATGAGGCCACCGCTGCAGCGGGAGCGCGATTCGGAACGAGCGGAAGCCCAAAAATGAGGCCAACGCTTCAGCGGGAACAGCATTTTGACACCAAAGCCCCAGCGAAAACCCAACTCCCGGGAATCCTGTGTGTAGAAAACAATGCGCAGAGGAGTGGGCGAATATCTTCCGGACGTCATTAGGGGAGACAGGAGAGTAGTATTCATGTTGTGAAATTGTCGTGGGGGTCAGGATCAAGGAGGGGGGGCAGGGCGGGAGGCGGGGAGGGGGCAGGGGGCGGGATGTCAACTGGAGATTGCCTCCAATCCCTCCTCCTCCCTCCTCCTCACCCCCCCTTCCTCCTCGTCCTCCTCATCCTCCTCTTTTCTCCTTCCTCCTCTTTCCTCCTTCCTCCTCTTTCGCATCTCTCTTCCGACTAATTGCCCCTCATCGTCCAACCTTCCCGTCCCCTACCCCCTCTTTTTCTCGTTCTTGCCTCCCCTCCTCCTTCTCCTTTTCCTCCTCCCCCTCCTCCTCCTACTCCTCCTCCTCCTCCTCCTCCTCCTCATCCTCTTGTTCCTGCTCCTCCTCCTCCTCCTCCTCCCCTCCTCCTCCCCCCCCTCCACCCTCCTCCCCCCGGCGAGCTGGCAATGCCCCAGCCTGCGACCGGTAGGACGCCATGCAGCAACCCATCTCGATGCTTGCAGAGGGCGGGGTCGCCAGCGACTTCCCAGTTGCAACCAACTGCGGAAGCTTGAACCAACAACGCAGTGGCCACGTTCCCATGCCCCTCCTTCCTTCAGTCCTTCTTATGCACTCCTGCTCGCTTTTAGTTTAGCGACTGCCTCTTCGACGCGACCCTCGACCATTCTCCAGGACCCAGCCGCCTCTCGGGATACCGAGGTGCCCGATGACCAGCCGCCAGAAACTGCGCCGTCGGATCGTCGGTGACTGGCGTGCAACAGGCCCAACTCAACGCAAACCCACCTCGGCCAATTTTGAAGAACCGCGCTGCAAAACCGCTGCACGCTGCTGCATCGAAGCGTGTTCCCAGGAGACCCGTCTCGGTCACCAAAAGAATTTCCATCGCTTCCTGCCCGGATGGCTGGCAGAGAACATAGGACGGCGATGGCCCCAATCCCATGCCTGGCATCATCTTGCTCTCCTTACGCTTCGACTTCATACCAGACGCTGCAAGCCGATGGGCAAGTTGTGAAATCATCTCCACGGCCTGGTCCACACCTATGCAAACAGATCAACTCTCTGTTCCCTCGGCGCGGTCCGCCAATAACAAGAACCCCATCTCTTTGGATCCCCATATGTGCATCTCATTCTCTTGGTACGTCATCGAGTCGGATAGAAAACTCGAAGGAGGAGGAGGAGGAGGAAGAGGAGGAGGACGACGAGGAGGACGACGAGGAGAACGAGGAGGACGACGACGAGGAGAACGAGGAGGAGGACGGGGAGGAGAACGAGGAGGACGACAAGGAGAACGAGGAGGACGACGACGACGACGACGAACGAGGAGGGAGAGGGCGGCCGGAGGCAGCTTCTGTGCCCCCTGGGGCCCCTCGGAGCCGCTGCGTGCAGCTCGGCCGACCGGCGCGGCGACGCCATCAAACCGCCAGGCCGCTGGACTTCGTCGTCGTAGTCGTCGTCGTCGTCGTCCGTCGTCCGTCGTCCGTCGTCCGTCGTCCGTCGTCCGTCGTCCGTCGTCCGTCGTCCGTCGTCCGTCGTCCGTCGTCGTCGTCGTCGTCGTCGTCGTCGTCGTCGTCCGTCGTCCGTCGTCCGTCGTCCGTCGTCCGTCGTCCGTCGTCCGTCGTCCGTCGTCCGTCGCCCGTCGTCGTCGTCGTCGACGTCGTCGTCGTAGTCCGTCGATGTTGTCGTCGTCGTCGAGGAGTGAGACGAAGAGGAACGAGAGGAGAAAGAGGAAGAGCAGGACGTTAGGGCATGTACCCGCTTTCGCCAGTGCGCAGCGTACAGCGTTCGGTTTAAAAGCGAACACGCAGCAACTGCAGGTGCGTTTAAGCGACAGTCGAATTCAACTTTAAAATCCGTTTAAACAGTCGATCCTCTCAGTGAGGCCGTCCTTTGCGGATCCGACTGAACATACATATTAAATTAGCCATGCAAACAACTGCTCAATGTTTATCCCAGCTGATCCTCTCAGTGAGGCCGGACTTTGCGCCTCCAGCTGGTTTAAACACAAAAGTTGAACAGATGTTTAGCTGCACGCTGCCAAGCTGCTGGGAGGATGTGGAGAGGAGACAAAAGAGGTTACCTCGCATGCGACATCACCTACCGTTTAGCGCCTGGCCCGCGAGCGCGAACATCTTGTCTACCTGTTTAGCGGCGGTCGCGGGCGCGTGAACGCACTTCCAAGGATTTCGCAGATCCGCCGACCCCTCGTGGGTCTCTGGGCGCGTGAGATTCCCCTCCAAAAACTCTTTCTCCCCCACCCCCCAGGGGCCCCCAAACTGGGAATTTGACCCCCCCCCCCAGGCCTAGGGGGATTAAGGGTCCCCCGACGACCCAAGAGGGCCCCAAGACGCACCCAAGACGGTTCAAGAAGGCCCCGAGTCTCTGAAAGATCGCTCCAAGACGCCCAAAATAGCCCCAAGACGGCTGAAGAGCCCTCCAAGAGCACTTCCAAGAGGCCAAATCATAAATGTTCTGAAACAATCAGTGGGGGATTTTGGTATTCTCGCCTTTTCGGCCTTCCGCCGCTCTATAACGTCCCTAGAAGCCTCCAAGACCACTCCAAGACGGCCCAAGAAGCCTCCAACTGGGCCCCAAGACGGCCCCACAAGGCGCCCAAGACGGCCCAAGAGGCGCACAAGACGGCCCACGAGGGCCCCCAGACAGCCTCAAGAGGGGCCCAAGAAGGGGAACGCGAACCGAAAATCCGAGCCTCCGGCCCCAAGAAGCCCCGAGGAGGCCCCCAAGAGGCCCCCCAAGAGGCCTCAAGAGGCTCCCCAGATGCCTAAACGAGGCCCCAAAACGATCCCCAGAGGCATCAAAACTGCCTCTAGGAGGCTCCCGAGAGGCTTCCCACGAGACCCCAACGAACATCCCAGAGGCCTATGACCCACAACCGCGGCACGGCGGCGGGATGGGCCGAAGGCCATTACGTAGATATAGGGACCGGCGGATGTGGCGCAAGCCTGTAGAATCCACGTCCGGAGGTGACGTGCTGAGCGGCAGCGTTTTCTGCGGAGGCGATAATGCAACGTATCCAATGTGTCCAATGATTGCATAATTGCAACGTATTGTATTGTGTTACATTATTATGTCTCCCCCCCTAACCCCCCCCAGGGGCCACGCCACTTCCGTCGACCCAAAGGTGGCGGACCCCTTCTGGGCTTCAAAAACATCAAAAACCTATGAGAAATCAACAAATTCGGCCTCTTGGGCCTCTTGGGGCCCCAAGAAAGTTTCAAGACGGCCCAAGATGGCCCCCAGACAGTCCAAAACGGCCTCAAGACGGCCCAAGATGGCCCCAAGAGGGCCCATGAGGCCCCCAAGAAAGTCCAAGAGGCCCCCAAGAAGACTCCCGAGAGCGCCTCCGGAGGCCAAAATCTTTGATTCTCTATAGTTTTGGGACAATTTCAACGTTTTCGCCTTTTTTGGCTCTCAGAAGGCCATGACGGCCCAAGCAGCCTCCAAAAAGGCCTCCAAACGGCCCAAGAGGCCTCCAAGGGGGGCCCAACACGGCCCAAGAGGGCCCCGAAACGGCAAAAAAAACCCTCAAGACGGCCCAAAAAGACCCGATACGGCCCCAGAGGACCCCAAGAGAGCCCCAAGGCGCCGCGAGAGGCTTCCAAAGTGGCCTCCGAAGTGGCCAGACGGCGTAAGAGCGCCCAAAGACGGCCCAAAACGTCCCCAAGAAGCCCCAAGAGGCTCCAAAGAGGCCCCCCAGAGGCTCAAAAAAAACCCTAAGAAGCTTCCAAGAAGCTCCCAAGAGACTCCCAGGAGGCCCCACAACGACTGGACTGAACGTGCTCTGAAACACCCTGCAGAGTTTTCTGCGGAGGCGATAATGCAACGTACCCAATGTATCCAATGATTGCATAGTTGCCACATCTCGCATTGTGTTATTAATTATGTCTCCCCCCTACCCCCCCCTCTGGGAGCTGCGCCACAGGAGCAAACCAAAGTGCCCCCCCCCCCCCCTCCCGGGGCTCAAAAACCTACCAAAACCGATGGAAAATCCATGATTTCGACTTCTTGGGCTTCTTGGAGGGCCAAGAGGGTGCCAAGACGGCTCCAGATGGGCTCTGCGCGGACCAAGACAGCCCCGAGACGGTCTAAGACGGCCCCAAGAGGGCCCAACAAGCCCCACTGACGGCCCAAGAGGGCCCCAAGAGCGCCCACAACTGCGCCTCCAGAAGCCCAAATCATTGACTTCCTTTTGGTTTGGTAAGATTTTAGCGTTCTCGCCTTTGCGGTCCAGGCCGCTTCCCAACTCGCTCCTGAACAACCCAAGAAGCCCCCAAGAGGGCCCCAATACTGCCCAACAGAACCCCAAAACGGCCCAAAGAGGCCCCCAAGACGGTCCGAGAGGCCCTTATGACGGCCCAAGAAGACCCCAAGACGGCCCCAAGGCGGCCGCGAGAGGCCCCCAAGACGGCCTCCGAAGGGGCAAAACGGCGCAAAAGCGCCCCAATACAGCCAAAGGCGCCCCCAAGAGGCCCCAAGAGGCACCCAAGAGGCCCCCAAGGGGCCCCCAAAAAACCCGAAGAGGCCTCCAAGATGTCCTCAAGAAGCCTCCGAAGGCTCCAAAGAAGCCCCCCAAAGGCCACACAGCGACTGGAGTGTAATGTCATTTTTCCACCCTGCGCGAACTGCGGCGCAGCGCCAGCCAGGTGGAAGTTGGTCACAGCGGCGCCCATGATTAGAGCCGGCGCTGGAAAGAAATATGGGGAGGGAGTATGAAAAGGAGTGAAGGGGGAGAGGCCCCAAAAAAGTCCCCAAGAGGCCCAAGGAAGCTCCCAGGAGGCCTCCAGGAGGCCCCCAAGAGGCTCCCAAGAGGCTCCGCGACGACGTGACTGTACGTGCTCCGGACGTGCACCCCGCGAAGCGAGAGGAATACTGTTCTCCTCTCCCCCCGGAGTCCGTCCAGAAGATGTTTGACACTCTCCGCGTGCTGTTTTGGGATCCACACAGGATTTCGAAAAATGTTTCTGTTGTGTTTCACAATCCAGTTGCCTCCGGTGCTTCAAAATGGTGCTCCCGCTGCAGCGTAGGCATCGTTTTCAGATCGGCGCTTGCTCCTGCAAAACAGAGTGGCGCTCTCGCCCCAGCACGGGCCACTTTTCTGAATCCGAGTCGTTCTTCATCGTTGTCTTTCCTGTCATCGTCGTAGTCCCTTCATTTCCCCTCCTCCGCCTGCCCCTGGTCCTCCTGTTCCTCCCGCTCCTTCCGCTCCAATTCCTGCTGTTGCTGTTCGTACGCGTCCTTTTTCTCCCCCTCATCCTCCTGCCTACGCGCCACATCCTCCTCCTCCTCCTCCTCCTCCTCCTCCTCCCTCCTCTATCCTCCGTCCTCCTCCGTCCTCCATTTTCTCTTCCAACATGTTTCGCTTTCGGAGCAGATTTGGAGGATGTCTCAGGCGATTCGCTGGTTTCAGCACTCCTAAGGGGAGCGGCGGGGGGGTATTTCACTCGGCCCCTTTCGCGGGATGTTGTGGGGATGTCTCAGGCGGTTTGGCCATTTTCTCTTCCAACATGTTTCGCTTTCGGAGCAAATTTGGAGGATGTCTCAGGCGATTCGCTGGTTTCAGCACTCTAGGGGGAGCGGCGGGGGGGTATTTCACTTGGCCCCTTTCGCGGGATTTTGTGGGGATGTCTCAGGCGGTTTGGCCATTTTCTCTTCGAACATGTTTCGCTTTCGGA